ACGAGCGGTCTGTGCTTTGAAAGATGACAGCCTTGAAAATCACCACGAGTTGGAATTGGCTCAACAGCAACTGGTTTGTTTTGATGAGGATGTAATCAGTTAATATATGTGAAGTACCTTCAACAGCATCTAGCACATAGCCCAGACCAAATCAAAGCAAACAAAACTTATCTGCTATAGAGTTGATTCTGACTCATACTGACCCTGTAGGACAGAGTAGAACTGTGGGTTTCCAATGCTGTTTTTATGGGACTTAGAAAGCCTCATCTTTCACCCTTGGAGCAGCTGTTGGTTTAGAACTGCTGACCTTGAGATTAACAGTCCAATAACCACCAGGGCTCCTCATCTGACACGTTGTAACTCCAAATTAGCTATATGCATAACTGTTGGTTAGCACAATGATAAAACATGTTTACTACCAATTACATCAGAGTAGCTCCAGTAATATAAAGAAAATCACCATTCATTTTCAATTTCTCACTAGATTAGAGAGCCTTGCACTTCTATAGTCCAATGCTTAGCCAAATTGAGAATGAGAGGAACGTCTGTTGGATGGGAATGTAGTTCATTCAGTTCTCTAGATCCAGGAAGACACTGGAAGTCAAAGAAAAAGGGTATTGTTTGCTAGGATTGAATATCATCACAGAAGCAGACAAGTCCAGGGTTTGGGTAACCGGGGAAAGGGCTGCGATTGGGAAAGCAGGGAAGGAAGAGCCATGGCAGGAGACGTACTGGTATTGGGTGCTGTGCTGGACAACTGACGTTGCTGGGTGCGCAAAGGTGGAGGAGGATGTTCAGAACGTGTTCTCTGCTACTCGTTTCAGATGATGTGACCCAAATGACTGTGGAATCATTCACAGAAGATCCAAGTAAGCATTTGAAACGCTCTCTCTCTCTTTTAATTAGAAGGATTGAGGTTAGGGAATGAAGTCAGTTTAAAGAAAAATAAAAATGGAAAAAGGTTCGTGGACACTGTGAGGTCACACACCAACTCTGCAAACATGTCCAGCCTTGTTCTCTCATCCATGACTTTCTGTGATGCTGTTAGCTGCCTTCAAGGCAGCCCCTGGCTTCTGGCCACATATGCACAATGGGACCGAATGCTGCCCAGACTTTGACCACAGCCAGGATCAGTTGGGGATCAGACCGTTGTGATTCCTGGGGTGTCAGAGGCTGATTTTTACAAATAGATCACCAGGCCTTTATTCCTAGTCTGTCTTAGGCTGTAAGGACTACTGAAATCGGTGCATCATCATAGCAATAAGCAAGCCTTAACTGACAGACGGGCTGTGGCTGTGTCTGAAATGCATTGACCACATATTGCACCTGAGTCATGATAGTGCCTTACATTTGCCCAAGAACCCACATCCTTTCATTTCCATTTTTCTCGCTGCTCTGCAGATCATCATAATCATCATCACCATCTCTTTAGGTTGCTTCCATTTTCATTTGTTCTTGCTTTTCATTAAATGTATGCTCAAATTATTTTATTTTAAATGATTCCTTTTCCCCCCTTAGTCATTTTATTGAGGAGCTCTGACAGCTCTTATAACAATCCATGCATCCATTGTTCCAAGCACCTTTGTACCCATGTTTGTGTAGACGTCAGTCTTTTCAACACATGTTCTTTCTGCTCGAGCCCTTGGTATCAGCTCCTCCTTTTTTCCCTCCCTCCCCCAGCTTCCATTTTCTCTTTGCGTTTTTCATCCTCTGGTTTGTACTTTTGCAGATCTGGTCAATGATCCTGCTACAGATGAAACAGGTGAGTTTTCCAGCCACTCTAAAGGAAAGGTGTGACTCTTATTGCCGTTCACCATATCGATTCCAGCTCTGTAAGGGACCCCTATCTTTATCTCTGGGAAAGTGATCAATGGCTTGCAGGAGTGTTGTCAGTAGCAGTGGGACTAAAAGACAGAGGAACCTTCTAGCCCTCTAATGAGAGGGCATAAGTGGGTGGATTAATAACTAAAACAGGGCCTGGATAATGTGGGCTTTCAAACATTACTATTCTTTCAATCGGACCATGATTCCGCAATAAATTTTCACAATGACATCAGTTAATTTTACCTCCTTTGGAATAACACACACACCGAGCCATAGTCTTGACCCTTGCCCAGAATGTCTCCCTTCCCCCCTTCCATTCTCTGCCTCCCTCCTTCGCCCTCCCAATACACAGCCCTCCTCACGCCTGCTGTTTTGTGCCTTTTCAGTGCTGGCTGATGTCGGGCCTTCCACAGATGACCTGGGTGAGTTCAGATCTGGGGTCCTGGGGCCACCAGGGCCATCCTGGGCTTTCCCAGATCCCATGTGGAAGGCAGTATTGTTGGTGAAGGGTCTAAAGTAAACAGAATTACCATTTATGTGGCACATTCTGCCTACAGTTTGATTCAAATCAACCAACATTTTGAGTTCTCATATGCAGGTGTTAGAGATACCAAATATTAAGACATGCTCTTTCTCTCTAAGATCCCTAGACTTTGGGTGGAATAAAGGGGAGACAAATATATATAAACCACTGTATGCCTGGAAGATCAGGGAAACACCTCTAGAATCTTGAAAGCATGGGACGAAGGTAGGCAGCACCCAAGGAAAGGACAGGCTTCCCAACTAGAAAGAGAGTGTTCAAAGATGTGAAAGTAAATGAAGCTTGGTATCTGAGAAAACCACATAGCAATGACTCTGATCGCCATGATAAGGAACGAGTTGAGGAGTGCCTTCTAAAAAGTCAAGAAAAGGTTTACCCACTGGAAGAAACCTTCTTTGATGTTCACCAGGAGTGAGAGGAAAAGAGGAAAAATAGCCGACATGCTAGCAGGCATGTGTGACCTGGGTGAAGGGAAAGGAGATATACAGGAAGAGGAGGTCAGTGCAATGGGACCGAGGCAAAGGGAGACCCTGAAAGGTACATAAAAGGCAGCAAAAGTAACTGCGATCACACATAGCGCCCTCTGATAACTAATAGTAAGGAATACTCTATGAGCGTACACATACTTAAATGTAAAAGCGGAAGGGGTGTGGGATAGCAGGTAGGAGAGGTTTGGCAAAAGGTGTTTCTACATATGTGTTTGTGTCGGGCTGCAGAATGTCCATGTATACAGTAGAGCACTGAGGGAGTAAAGTTAGGAAAACTTAGCCATAATCAGACGTGAGGGGAGTGAGTTGCTAGGCTTGGGGGTTTAGGACAGTCCCAGGGAAATCTAAGTCAATGGGCATAACATAGTCCACAAGGACGATGCTCTCATTCTTGCTTAGGTGCGTAGAGACTGGGAATTCAAACACTTGTGATTGGTGATCGCTCCCTCTCTGGAGCAAAGGAGAGTGAAGAAAACACCTTACATTTGTACAAATGGAACACGCTAACCCACAGCCTCCACTAGCCCGAGACCAGAAGAACTGGATGGCACCTGGTACCACTGCCTATGCCTCTGAAAGGGATGACAATATAAGGTCCCAGACAGAGTGGGAGAAATATGTAGAACGCAATGCAAAGTCACCTAAAAGACTTGACGTACAGATCTGATAAAGTCTGGTAGAATTCCCGAGGCTACGCCTCTCAGACACTATTCAAATGGGAAACTGAACCCCTTCCTCCACCTTCAACCCAACGATAGGCTTATACACTGGTGAGGAAAGTATTTCTGAGAACAGTCAACATACAGCACCCCAAATGACAGCATTTCCCCCAAAACAAAGAGAACAGGAGGGAGCCAGAGAGAAGGATGTATGGCATTGGCGAGCCCAGGGAAGAAGCTGTTGTTGCCGTGAGGGGATTGCCATGGAACAAAAAGCATATCAGTTGTTGCACAGAAAAATATTTTGTCCGGGAGGGAGGGGAAAAATGAGGACCTAATGTCGGGGGTTTAAGTGGAGAGAAAATGTTTTGAGAATGAAGTACAAATGCGCTCTACACAATTGATGTGTGTATGGATTGTGATAAGAGTTGTATGAGTCACTAATAAAATGTTTAAAAAAAATAAATAAATAAAAAATTTTGTCCTATAAACTTTCACCCAAACCACAATAAAAACCCAACCAAACTCATTGCCGTCAAGTCAATTCAGACTCAGACAATTAAGACAGAGTAGAACTGGCCCTGTGGGTTTCTGAGACTGTACATCTTTACAGGACTAGAGAGTCTCATCTTTCTACGGAGGAGCGGCTGGTTGGTTTGAACTGCTGATCTTGCGGCGAGCAGCCCAGCGTGTAACCCATGATGCCACCAGTGCTCCTCAAACCACAGTAAAATGTTTGTTGTCTTTTGTTTTAAGGCAGTAACACAGGAAGTTGACTTTTTTTAAAAAAGGAAGTTGTCTCTTGACGATAGAATTCAGGCCAGATGTTTCAGCCTCAAATAACGGATACAGGCAGACATGTCATTAAGTGTGTGTATGCATGGGCTTATGCATGAGGGAGCTTCAAAAGCTTCAAAAGGAAAATGAGATGAAAAGATCCTGGGATTTTTCCACGAACATTTGGAAGCTCCCCTCATAGGTCTGTGCATGCTTATTAAGGGGGAGGACTACAGGCTTATAAAATATAGACCTTGCACTAGGTGCGCTATACACCTTTGCTCTTTAAGATTTGTTAAAAATAGAACTTCAACATAAACAACAGCAACGAGTAGGCGAATGTGAGAAAGTAACCGAGGAGAGAAGAACTCGATAATTTTAACCAATATTTACTGGAAGTCTGTGATGTATCAATCAGGCATTTTACTGGGTGCCAGAGATCTAAGGTTGAAAAGAAAAAAGGAAAAACTTACTTTCTCCCACGGGCTATCTTCTGCACAGTGGGGAAGCGAACTGCTCACTTGATCCAGGAATTCAAAATGCCACAAGCAAAGCGAGTGGTGAAAGCGCATAGAAAGAGGCTTCAACTAGATTCAGCGTGGAGGTCAAGAAAGGTCACATTTCCTGGAGGTCATATGGGTCTCCTGAGAGACATGAAGAAGGTCAAAAGAAGAGGGAAGACATTTTCAGGTGAAAAGAATAAGCTTAGGACAGACATGAAGTCAAGTGGAAAGGAGCTGATTTTAATCAGCTTTGTGTATTGGAAAGATCACTCCCAGTGGCAATGTGGAGGATGGATTTTAAATAAATGGGCCTCCAACCAGGAAAACTGCTGGAAAACGAATGCAGTCGTCCCAGTAAGAGGTAGTGAGGAGTAAGCTGCCAAGAGAAAAGAATTATTGAGATGATACCCAGGGGGTGGCTGTTGGATCAATGTTTCTATTCACTGAAAACACCTTGAGTCCGTGACGGGGAAGATGAGATTGAAGCTGTGCGTCCAGTTGAAGACATGATCATTTGGAAGGATCTTTGACAAATCCAAGAACACTACCCTTAAAGGGGAGTTAGACGTATAGGTCTGGAGTTCAGGAGAGAGCTGGACTAGAAATATAGATTTGTGAATTCTCACTGTAAAAACCTGTAATTTACATTATGGGCCAGATGACAGCACCTAGCATACTTCCTAGGAACCTCTTAGTGTTTCTATAGCAACCCTTGGCTAGTGGATCCCTAGCACACTCACCTAAGTCCTCCTTGTCAGAGTCTCCATTCTGAGAAATACATTCATAGTGACCTGGCCCCTAGCTGATGTTTGGCAATGGTTATTACTCTTTCACCAATCTATCTGCTTTTATCAGAGAACCCTGGTGATGTGTCTAATCTACAGAGAATAATTTTTTTTTCTCTTCTGAGGAGGAACTTCTACAGCAAAATAACCTTTTCTCTCTTAGCCTTAGGATAGAGCTTTTGGGGTCGTATGACTCTTTGCCTTTAAAAAAAAACTTAAATCTGAACCTTGCCAATAGTAATGATACTCACAGTACAGTTTTTTGTCTGTTTTGCTTTTTTTTTTTTTAAGTCCCAGGGCAGTAAAGTAAAAGAGCCAAATCGGCTTTTCCACCCAGTCTCCTAAATCTCTTCAAGTTTGTGACATTACAGGTTGTTAAGAGAGTTTTAAAATTGTTAAGAGAGTTGTTAAATCTTTATTCATGGGGAAACAAAGTGTCACAAATGAGGCAACCGGACAGATGCCGAAGAAGTTACTTCTGGAACCAGTACTAATGGAATACAATTTCTGCCTTTCAGCTTCACCCAATGATAAGAATGCCACTTCAGGTACGATGGTCTCTTGCATGACTTTGTCTTGGGTTTTCTTCATGTGGGTGCCTATCTCTTTGTGCCCTCTGGGGATTTGGTACATATTCTACCTTGCTTCCAGTTCTTTTTGAGGAAGTATTTCTAGTGGCCTCCCTCCTCCTTTTTCTTTATGAACAATGAAGCCTAAGAGCTATGAGAAAGAGAAAAACAATAGAGAGGGTCACTGTTCCCTGGTCCCGAAGCAGTGTTCTTTCTGAGCTCCGCTGTGTGCTGCATTTGATGATTAGTGAGTCGGGGAGTGAAGTCTATTAGGTCAAAATTATTTCCCCAATGCGCTGATCATTCTGACTGAAGCTAGAGATGAAAACCATTGCAACAGTGAAATAGATAGTGATCGCTCTGAAAATTCCCATTCTTCAGAAGGAGATTATAAGCAATTCAATGCAGCATTTCCTATTGCCACCTGGGTAATCCTAGAAGGACATTTTATAGTAGAACCTTCAAAGATGACTCTATCACACTCCTGCTTCCAGGTAGGGAAGCACCTGTGTTTCATTTTAATCAAATTCCTCTTGTTTTGCTTTGCTAAGCAGAGAACACATGCCTTAATTTATGATGATTCTTTGTGGAGGCTAATGTGGATCAATCCCCCACCCCCACCCCCATTTCACCATTGCTACCCTTTTAATTCATCATTCTCTGCCTCTCCTACTTGCACCTCCATATCCTTTGTGCTGGGTTTCTTCAGAGTGCCGAGATGAGAAATTCCCTTGTACCAGACTCTACTCTGTTCACCGACCAGTCAAACAATGTGTTAATAAGTTATGCTTCACCAGGTAAGGCTTCTCAAAATGCCCAGAGAGCATCTTCCATGGGAGTGTTTTCATGCTGCTATTTCATGAGCACCTATTAAGTACATGCGGTCTTCGATAGAACAAATGTTGTCAGCACGGCTCTTCTAGCTATTCTTGAAGGTGCCGTCTATAACCCGGAGCCTGGGTGGAGGTGGACAGAGAAGCGGGTGACTAGCACAGGAGATAAATGACGATGAGGGCTGAAGAAAAGAGGGCTGTGAGGGAGATACTGCTACATTGAGGGTTTCTTTAACAGAAGCTGAAGCAAAAGCTATATGAAGGTTGTAAATAGTGGGAAAGAATATTAAGTTCAATTCTAAATCAGTGCATGAGCAAATGTCACCAAGAGAAATAATTTAACCAAATTCTTTCCCGCCGCTCCTCCAAGGAGTGGGGGTGGGGGCAAGGGATATAAAAAAAACGCTTAAGGAAATACAGATTGGGGGAGGGAGTAATAGGAGAGAGTGGGAAACACAGGAACTTTAAGGCACCCTAAATTTAGAATAGTCCTCCCTCTTAATGTCTTTTCTCTCTTCTCTTTATGATATTTGGACTGTGGCAGTGTACGGCGCATGTACGTCATCAACAATGAGATATGCTCCCGTCTTGTCTGTAAGGAACACGAAGTGATGAAAGGTAAGAGATGTCTGAGGGTTTAGTGGGGCAGGGCAATCACGAGAAAGGGACATTTTGCGAACAGATTGACTGCTTTGAAGGAGGAGCCAATAAGAAAGGATTCCAATTATTCTCGTAGTTCCTTCAGCTTCTTTGTTTCATTTACACCACACAAACGATCTAAGCAATACAGTAGCCTTAAGATACAAACACAACCTAAAGAAAAATATCCTAGATCCTGTTCTGACTACATTGTTAACTCTGAGCCTCTGCCTTATAGATAGCAGTTTGGAGCTATGGCTGTTTTGAGGATCATTCATTGTGGTTCTAGGTGGAGAGGCCCAGCTAGCCATTCCAGAGAGTAGATTCAGTTAAGCAGCAGCCAGGTTCATGACTCTCAAAGGCAAAAAGAAAACCAACCCACCCTGATTAGGAGATAGTAAGGTTTGTATAGATCTTGTCAATAATAATGATAAACAAATAGGACATTCAGAAATGTGACAATGCAAACATAATCCAATTTCAGGCACCCTTTACATTGCTTATTGTGAAATTTCAGAGGGAGGAGAGAAGACCCTTCGAGCCTCAAGCGTGTGGTTATAGAACCTCCACGGTGGGAACTAAGATACTTCTCATCTTCCCCATAGCCAGCTCCTAAGGATGACTGTGGTTGGTGAAGACACCACAGGCCCAGCCACTTCTGACTCAGCGGTCCGCTTAGCCCCGAGTTCCTGAGTCAGAGCTGTAGTTTCCTGCACAGAAGGAAACTTACTACTTTCCCCGCTTGGCTCTGGGCACCCCACCTGCAAGAGCCCCCTGGGATTGCAGTTGAGTATTTGGACTCGAGGTACTTTCACAACTGACCAATAAGTAACATCGTGATAAACAGAGAAAGTAATTGAAGTCGCCAAAGATTACATTTTGCTTGGATTCACAATCCACCCCCATGGAGTTAGCAGTTCAGCAGGCAAACGCTGTATTGTGGTGAGAAAATCAGAAGTGAATCAAAGCCTTTAATTATGGTGAAGAATATGGAACATGCTATGAAGTACTGGAAGAACGTACAACTTTGGGAAAAAAACACAGCCAGAATGTTCTGTAGAAATGAAGACTAGGAGACCTCATCTCACATCCTTTGGCCATGTTAGGAAGAGATCAGTCCCTGAGAGTGACACCAGGCTTAGTAGAGAGCAAAAAAGCAGATCCTCAGCAAGGTGACTGATGCAGCGGCAGCACCCTGAGCTCAAACACAGGAACGATGATAAGTTTATCTTGGGCTCAGATGGTGTTTCAGTCTGATATGCAATCGCACCAAACAACAACGTCCAAGTCTCTCAGGGACCTTGGCGAGATCAATTATGTGGACACAGTAAATAGTTACACGGGTATTGAGGACGACCTCATTTTTTCCTTTCATTGCCCCATGGTTAGACTCCTGGCCATCTGCTCTGTTTCAATTTCTGTGCTTGTTACTTTGCATACATTGTTTCCATTTAACACTCATAACTACACCATCGAGGTAGGTGTTTGAATGCTTATTTTACAGAATGGAATAGTGAGTTTCAGAAAAGTTAGGGAACTTTCTAGTAAGTGGTAAATGACGACTAAGAGGCAGAACTTGGGTTCGAACCCAGATTTTGTTTCTTTTTTATTTCAAGCACTCAGAAGTCTTCTCCTTCCCTGAACACACGAGCTCTTGGCACCTTCCTACCCTCTGATCCCTTCATGTCTTGCATCTCTTCTAGATGAACTTTGCCGACAGATGGCTGGCCTACCCCCAAGACGACTCCGTCGCTCCAACTATTTCCGACTTCCTCCTTGTGAACATTTGGATTTGCAGAGACCCAGTGGTCTGTGATCAAGGAAGAGCAAAGAAGAAATAAATTGAGGGGGGAGGAAATAAATGCTCTAGCAAATGGGAATTTTTTTCTTGTCCAGCTAACCACTGTCAGATAATCCAGAGACAAGCATATTAGTATTAATAATAGTTAACCTTTTCAAGAGCAACTTATTTTCTGCTTTGGGATTTTTATTGAAACCATGTGTTTTCAGTAATGGAAGACAATTTAAATGAAATGAAGAAAAACATTCTTTGTGGTTATAGATATTTTTATACAAGTAATGGGATATATATGTCCTGATGGGGTCTCTCTGGTCTTGGGCCTGGTGGGATGAAGTCTGTCTCTTCAGACACACAGTTTTACAGGCCTGCACCAGATGACAACACACATTAAAAGTGGGATAACGGTTTCCCACTAAACCCTAGAGGCAAAAAATAGAGGCAGCCACTAGAAGTCCCATAGTTTATGAATGGGTTAGACTAGTTATTTTCTTATATTCAGCTTTTGCCTCCATTCCCTGGTTTTTGACCTAAACTGATAACATTTATCTCATTTTCCAACATTTAAAAACACAGTCTGCATTATTGCATGGCTTTGCTGCTTCCCAAGGTCATGGTCACCGTGACTAAACGAGGACCATATTGCTGACATACAAGCAGCTCACACATAGTTTCAGGCGAATATAAACTTTGTATTAATAATCTTCACCTTTAAATCTGTGTGTGATAGAGTGTAGGGTGAAAGAAGCTACCATCGTGTATTTTAGCTAACCATAGAATGTCATTCATTTTTCTTTTCGAGAGCTCCCTGGACGAACTCTCCAATCAACTACATGTTCCTCTTTGCTTTTATTGCAACGATTTTACTGAATTGTCCAATCATTGTCTGGGATATTTATGAAAGGATCATGGAAATTTGACAGGTCAAAGAAAATTCTCCAGTAAAGGAAAGAAACATACAATCCGACCAGCAAAATGTACTCCTGTAAAATCTGAGGTAGGGACTAAAGAGAGGACTGCTACAGATCACGAACTTGGATCTATGATTCCTTATCCAATTTTTCATGCAGTTGTCCGATCTGAAGGAAGGATCAGAAATCAGGTCTCATTTTAAAAATTCATTTATGATAGTACTTGGGGTCAACCTACTTCCACAAAGCGAATGAGACAACTTCAGGTGAAGCCATACCATTCGGTTCGCGTTGATGCTGCTTTGTTTTCGTCCTCACATATTTCTAAAATTGTAGTGATCATTGTGCAGATGCTTCTGCAAGAGCCAAATTGCTAAGAAAAGAAATCAGGCTGGAATGCCAATAATTAGGAAGAGAGGTTACTTAATGGTTGGCATGACACGATCCTGGCCCCAGCAGTAATCGTGAAGTCTTAGATGAATCACATTGCAGTTTTACGCAGCAAAACTCATTAAGCCAAAAGCAAACCCGTTGCCACTGAGTCAGCTCTGACTTAGAGCGACCCTTTAGGACAGAGTGGAACTGCTGCATCGGGTATCCCACGCTGCACATTTGTATGGAAGCAGACTGCCTCATCGTTTCTTCCTGTGGAGCAGCTGGTAGTGTTGGACTGCTGAACATTCCATGAACAGTCGGATGTGTATCCATCTTTAACATGAGGTTCAGTTTCTAATAGTTCTAGGTTTCATGTAAGCCTGTGATCCTCTGGATTCAGTATATTATTCATGTCTGTTGAAACCTATCGGCCATCTCCTTCCCGATGAATCTGTGTGTGCTGGATAAAGCGCAAAACTATGCTCTACTGGGAGGTGGCCCAACATGTAGTCGGAAAAACCAACAACCCGCCAACAATGAAAATAAGCGACAAGCTATGCACTATTTTGTGAATATTTCAATAACTTTCTGTAAAAGCTAGTGTATGTCAAATAGGAGATAACAAATGACGTATGACAGATTCCACTCAGTTGGGTTTGCTTTCCTTTTTTATTGCTGAGAAATCTAGCTAAATGAAGAGCAGATTGTTGATGTTTAGGAACAGTTTCGTTTATGGGGGTTTGTAAGTTGTTTAAAGAGAAATGCTAGGAAAAGCAGGAAGCATGTATTCTCTACTCCACACACTCTCTAGAATGAAACGTATTCATATATAGATATATTAATGCATCTTGTAGCCACTGTAGCGAAGCCTCCGAGGGGCAAAGTTTAAGACTTGCTAAAGAATATTTCACGAGCTTGCTAGACCTACTACGTATTGAATGGGAGGTGGCATTCTCACCAGACAACATTTCAATCCCAATATTGTGTGTCATGCTAATTAAATATTAAAAAGATTTCCTCCCTAATTTCTTCCCAGGAGAGAGTGGTCTGTGATCTGGTTATTTCGCCTTCTCCTCTCTTTTATGTTTACAAAGAAGGATTGAGGTTCTATGTTGCCTCATTTTGAAAACCAACTGCCAGTGTTTCTCTAGTGATTGTACTCTGCTATTGTTTTATTGTTGTTGTTGTTCTGTTCTTCACGTGACAGCGTTAACTCGGGCTCTCTAACATTCCAACAGTCTTCACTCTCCCTAGCTGTGGCCTCCTCAGTCACCAGATTTCTTCTTCTTTTTGGCTCCTTTTAGCCCTCTGGGTTTTGCCATTGTCAATTCTTCTATCTTGGCCCGCTACACTTTTGAATATGTCAACCAATATTTTTCCATCCTTTCATTTCTCATCCATGTAAAGGTCTTACTTTTCTCCGTAATGTTCCCCTAGGAGTGATGTCAGGCCCAAGTTCTAGGGGATTGGTTTTGATCCTGGTTCTTTACCTTATGAGTCGAATTCCATTTTCCTCTTTTTAACATTTTCATGTATTTTTTTGTTTTGTTTTAAGAAAACAACCCTGCCCCATCACAGTCCATAGAGGCACTATGTTTTCTTCCTAGGCTCTCTTCCGTGAGAAGATTTGAAAATGTTTTACTATTTAAAGTATTGATTTTATTCTGTTCCAGATAAACACAAATGACAACGTCACTGACATTTTAATTTAAAAAATGTTTTAACCAAAATAATAGATCTTTAATGCTAGACTGACAGGAGATAGTAAAGCATGATCAGGTCATTTTTGAGATTTAATGCCTTGTTCTGCCTTGGAATCATTTATCCCCAGTTCCCTTAAAGATTCATCTGTATCAGCATTTCCCGAATTGACTTGGTTCTGTTCTGAACCCCTTTCCATCTTTCATTCTTTTTTTGTTTTTCATCTTCAGATGTAAGGAATTAATAGAGGTAGGGGAGACTGAGGCAGGCCCAGTCACAGCAAACATACAGGGGCAGGGAGGTGGGCGGCAGGTAGTAAATTTGGTCTTGAACTTGGTGGGGTAAGAAAAGATCCTTGAGTCTGGGGTGTGGGGTGCAGCAGGAAGAAGGCCCGGTCTGGGGAGGGCCTGAGGGTGGTCTGGTGGGGGGAGGCCGCAGGGCCCGCCCCTCAGTGCTGAGGAAAAGGCACTTGGCTCAGTCTCCTTCAGCCCACAGCCCACCTGAGGAGATGGGAGTCCCTATGCCTCTTTCAAGGGCCTGGCAACCGCTGCTGATTGAGCTTCTGGAAGAAGCTTTTGCCAAACTCGTAAGTGCTGCTCATAATAGCACAGGAAGCGGCGGCCTTGATGATCCGGGACAGGAAGCCTGCAAAGAGCCCCTTGGTGCCCGACTCGGCCTGGATCCCCCGCAGCAGCACCCAGGTGGAGTCGACCCGTGGCGGCCTCACTCTCAGAGCCTCCACTGTGCCCAGCGCGGCCTGGCGCTGGGTCTTCACCACGTCAAAGGGCAGAGTCAGGATGGCTGCCACCGTCCCTGAGATTCCGCCAGCCACAAAACTGATGCCCACGGATGTCTGGTCCTTTGGCCTGGGCCCACTCAGCCAGCTCTTCACCAGCTCGTAGTTAAACCAATACAGGCCTGCGAAAGGCACGTCCCGAAGGGCAGTGGGCCCCCAGCCCAGCCACAGGGAGCGCCAGCCGCCCCTAGCCACTGCGGCCTGCACAGAGGTGCCCAGCTCCCGATAGGACACATGCTGAGCCTGTAGCTTCGTTCTCACCAGTTCCAGGGGGCTGACCACAGTCACAGTGCCCAAGCGGGCCAGAGGGCCAGCCACCATGGGGGCATAGAGGTCGGAGGTCAAGGCTCGGTCACACAGGAAGGTCTTGAGTTGGTCGTAGGAGGTGAAGTAGATGGCAGTGGCCGGCACAGTCATCACCAGGGTGGCTGGGAGGCCACTCCACAGGGTCCTGGCGCCCTCGTGCCGCACAATCTTCACAAAGGCATCCATGGTGCCGGTGAATCGGGAGGGGTCATGAAACCAGGTGGCGCAGCGCGCGCCGTGTGGGCACAGGTAGAGGGGCTCCAGGACACCATTGCAGGACAGGAGGCACTTCCCTGTGGGTTGGAGAGAGGAGGGCAATTTGGTGTAGGGCACGCTCCAGAGTCTAGAGGGCGGCTTCAGTTCGGTGGCCACCGAGGGGCGCTGGGACTGCAGACGCACCTTCACCACGTCCAGGGGCGTCATGAAGAGAGAGGTGACCACTGCTCCAGTGCCCGAGGCCACCATTTGTTGGAGGGGGCTAATGCCCCCCGGGTCCTGGTCAGCCATCTTGTTGTAGTCTTGATCCTGACTCTAGGCCGGTGCTCGCGCGGCACGGCGCCCGGGACCGGGTGGGGCCATAGGGGCTCCGCTGCCGGCGCAAGGTCCACCGGCGTTCGCCCAGCTCCCCAACTTTCATTCTTATGATAATAAAAAATTCTCCTTTATCCTCAAGTGAACAGATGCTGGAAATCCAAACGTGCATCATATTCTCAACACAGAGTTAGTTACACACACTTTCACTTCGTGTTCTTTGGATTCAGAGGTAGATGTGTCAATCCCAGTTGGTCTCCCCACTTCTGGGCCGTCCTTTTGGTGAGGTCAACCAGCATATCTTGCTAACCACACGCTCCTTCTTACTCTCTTTGCTTCAATGTTTGTTGCAAAAGTTGGATGTTTGACCAAACACTTCACACCTAGTCAGAAGGCACCAGTCACTTGCTACTTCTAAGGTTCCACTTCCTTCTGTCCTGAAGCAGCTCTAAGATTGTGAAAGACAAAGGTAATATGAGCGAGAGAAAAAGAAGACAAGAGCACCAGACCAAGGGGATAAGGAAGTGGAATGGTAATGATGAGTTCCCATCAGGGCAGGGGAACCAGAAGGCTGGAGGATGGGAGAAGGGAATTCAGAAGGGGTGAAGGGATCGTGACAATTCCGAATGTGCAGGGTGGGAAGGAAGGACATCAGAAGCAAAGAGGAGGAGGCTCAGCACTGTCCTGATGGTTTTGTTGCTACTTACGCTATGAGGCTGTGATGTGTCTAAAACTGAGGAGCTGACACCAGGGGCTTGAGTGGAGGGCGGGTGTTGTGAGAACGACAAAGCCAACATATGTACTACTGTACTGGACACAAGTGATGTATGTACGGTATGTGATGAGTTGTATGAGCCCTTAATAAAATGATTATTAAAAATAAAAACGCCCAAAATCGGGAAAAAAATGTAACGTTCCAGTAAAAATTGAGGTTCTTGTGCCTTTTCCATTTCACCAACCCTCCACCAGGGAAAGTGACTTGTTGCGGTTTCCGTGTGGTAGAGTATGGAGGGGCAGGTGGACGCTTTTTTTTTATTTTTTATTTCAGAAACCAGTGAAGGAGAACCAGAAACAGCACTCAGACACCAACTTCTGGAAAAGGCAAATGTTTATATAAATAGCGACGCAGGGCCCATAACTTCCTGTTGACAAATCAAGCCTCATGTCACCTCAAACCCTCACTTTTTGAAATCGCTGAAACTTTTTTGTCCAGTCTGTCTAATCACACTGAATAAGGTTCTAGTTGTTGGTTTTTTCCTGGATTTTTAGGCTGTCTCATTCTTCACTCTCTCTGGTGTTTCCCCCATTTCTTTTCTTTTGAGAGCTTACCTCAACTCTTCCATATCGTTTTATGGCCATCAGAAAAATCACTCGCATCGAGTTGATGCAGACTCATGGTGACCCCATAGGACAGGATTAAACTGCCCCTCTGAGTTTCCAAGACTGTAACTCCTTATGGGAGTAGAAGGCCCCATCTTTCTCCCACAGAGTGAGTGGATAGTTTCCAACTGCTGACTCTAGGATTGCAGCCGAACCTTGTAGCCACTATGTCATCATCACTACTGCTTGTTTTCTGGCATATAGTATGAACTTGATATAAAAGCTATAAGAGTTTAATGCTGCACGATCGCCTTAGTGTTTATGTGATGGACCCTTCAACCACCACACACAAATACACCCCCTCCAAGTAGATGAGCCTCGAACAAGTATAAGATGTTCCTTTATGGGAAACTATCCTAAGCTATATCTAAAGAATTGATGAGTATTAAAGAATCAATTGAGATCTGGAACATCAGTTGTGATCTAGGACATCCTTACTTATACTGGCTCTTAATATGTTGCTCTGCTCCAAACAATAAAATACAAGGAATGATAATTAAAGGTAATAAGAACTAAATAGAAAAACATGTCTTCTATTTGTATAAAATGTATTCTTTCATCCTGAAATCGTATGCAATGTGTGTGTGTGTGTGTGTGTGTGTGTGTGTAAAGGAGGGAAATAAAATTATATTCCTTCAAAAAAGCTTATGAAAATGTATTGTAACACCAGCATCAATAGCCATTGAAAGCAAAAATTACTTCAAAAGTTTTCATCTGCAATCATGAATGGCAATCCTTAATTATGCAGGGAAACTAGTTTGTTGGGAAGTAATCTGTAACTTGGTGAAAAAAGACAGTGCTTTTTATGCTAGGAATCATTCCTTGTTGTGCTTCAGCAGAAACAAGGCTAGGAAGAGCTGGCATTCTGTAACAATTCATGAATTTGTATCTTTGTTGGCCTCATTCTCTCAAAAGTTCAAGTACTCATAAGAATGTCAATATGTACTAAATGTTATCAACTAAGAAGTCCTGGGAGTGCTGTGGGTTAGGCATTGAACTGGTAGTCACAAGGTTGGTAGTTCAAACTACTCCAAGGTAGAAGTGAGGCTGTCTGTTCCTATATAGATTTGTAGCCTCAACACCTATATAAAGTTGGGATTGATTGGATAGCAGTGTAGTTTTGGTTTGAATTAATAGAGGGGCACGGTGCAGAGTTTACAACCCAGAAGGAGGCTGATAATGGTCGCATAACTTAAAGAATGTAGTCAATGTCCCTTAAGGAGGCAGGTAGAACTGTTGAGTTGGCGTGTGTTTTGCTGTGTATATTCTGAAACAGCAACAAAATAAAGTTTTTTTTAAAAAGGTTGGAAATGGTAAATGTTATGTTTACTACATTACTATCCACCACTCGCCTGTCAGTTTGTCATGCGGTGGTGGCTTGCATGATGCTGTGAAGTATCATCAGGGTTACATGGTGAATAGGATTCACTGGAGCTTCCAGTTGAAGGACATACTACATAGGTTGTCACTTCTGAAGGATTAATTTCTTTGGAAACACAGAGGAAGGATGGCAGTTGGAAAATATGGTCTTGATGATAGAAATAAAGCTAGAGAGCATATGATAGAATTTTGCAGGACCAATAACTTCTTTGTCACAAATACCATTTTAAACAATGTAAGTGGCTACTGTGGACATGGACCTCAACAGATAGGATACACAGCAATCAAATGGTCTTCATCTGTGGGAATAGATGATTAAGAAGTTAATATCATCGGCCAAAAGACCGCCAAGGGCCAACTGTGGAACAGACCATTATTTGCCCATATGTAAAGATGGATCAAAAACTAAAGCAGGGCTACTAGAGCTGAAACCTAACCTTGAGTTTATCCCCACTAAATTTAGAGACCACCTCAAGAGCGGATTTGACACACGGTATGCTAATGATAGAAAACCTGATGAATGGCAGGCCGACACCAAGAGCATCATATAGGAAGAAGCAAAAGGTCACTAAAAAGACAGGAAAGAAAGAAAAGTCCAAAGTGGATGTTAGAAAAGACTTTGAAACTTGTTCTTGGACATAAAGTAGCGAAGGCAATAGGGAAACAATAAAAAAATGATTAAGCAAACTGGTTGAATTGTAGGCATTGCTGCAGCACCTGCTGCTGTGGTCACCTGTGGTGCCCCTTTGCCCAGTGCCCCCCTAGCTTGGGTAATCTCTCCACCTGGTGCTCTGTAGTAAGCAGTGTCAGTTTTCTATCAGGGTGTGAAATTATAGTGGCAAGGTTCAGTGTGCTGGCACTGACCAGACAGTGCACAACTAGCGATCAGAAAGTCCGGAGTGTGGTGGCTAGCTGGAGATCCAGGGGAGGTCAGAGATCAGGGTAGGCTGGAGATCCGGAGCAGGCTGGAGATCCGGAGCAGAGATCATGTCCTCTCTTGGCTGTGGATACTGAGCTAAGTCAGCTTCTGAGAACATCCTCAGCTGCTGGTAGCAAGGTGGTCAGACTGGCTGTCTTCGCATCCCCACCAAGCCCAAATATCAGAATTACAACCCTAAGGGTATGGGAAGAGGAGGAGGGGAGAAGGGAGAGAAGGGGGGAACCGATGGCATCGACGACTGTATAATTCCACTCAAGGGGAGTGTACAACAGAATTGTATGTGAATGGATACAGTGGATGGTATAAGATATGGCAAAAGTAAATAAATAAATGAATAAATGATGGTTCCTGGGGGCAGGATTGGGAGGGAGGGGATAAAGGGGGGCTGATATCAAAGTGTTCAAGAAGAAAGAAAATGTTTGGAAACTGATTGTGGTAGCAGTTGTACCATACTGCTTGATGTGATTGAACTATGGAATGCTATGATATCTGTAAGAGCTCCAATAAACTTTTTAAAAAATAAAAATAAAGGGTGTGAGGGCAGAGCCCACACTGTGACGTCACCGGAGGCTCAGGGGCTGAACCTTGAGCAGGCAGGGGCAGCCTCGCCTCTCATTCCTCTGGCCTCTCCTCATTCTTCTTTAAAAAAAAAAAAGTCAAATTGTAACAGAAAATTTCAAAGGGCATTTCAAGAAGACAAAATAAAATATCATAATGAAATATGCACAGACTTGGAGTTAAAAAAACAAAGAGGGAGACTACTGTCAGCATATCTCAAGCTAAAAGAACTAAAGGAAAAATTTAAGCCTCAAAATATGAAACGATTGTGTTAGGCAGGGTTCTCTAGAGAGACAAAACCTGGACACTTATGATTATATATATGGATAGATTTATTTAATTTTTTCATTTTATTGGGGGCTCATACAGCTCTTATCACAATCCATCTATCCATGCATCTCCCCCCACCCACTCCTCCACCCTCCCTCCCTCAGGAACTCTGGATAATTTATAAATTGTTATTATTTTATCATGTCTTACACTGACCCATGTCTCCCATTACCTGCTTTTCTGTTGTCTGTCACCCTGGGAGGGGGTTATATGTAGATCATTGTGCTCGGTTCTCCCTTTCTCCCCCACCTTTCCCTTACCCTCCTGGTATTGCTGCTCTCATTGTTGGTCCTGAGGGGTTTATCTGTCCTGGATTCCCTGTGTTTCCAGCTCTTATCTGTACCCATTGTCAGTCTGATTTGTAAGGCAGAATTGGGGTCATGATGGGGGGGCGGAGCATTAAAGAATTAGAGGAAAGTTGTATGTTTCATCAGTGCTAT